CATGGACTATAATTGTGGAGATTCCATGTTAGTAATGTCGCTGGGATGCATCCACATTTCGACATCGAAAGGCCCAGCTATTTCCGAGCCTCCGATCCTGATCTGCATCCCTTTAGCTAGTATCCATCCGCCTATCCGGGTATGTGCACCATTTTTTCGGAAGCCACACGAGTGATTACTTCCTCGCATACCAATCCCTAATGTAAGTAAGCTAGATTTTCCGCTTTATACAAATTTAAAACTTTTTCTAATTTTTATGCACCAAAATTCATGAAAGTTCGGACTTTTTTCTGAAAAAAATTACAAAAAACTTCGGTAACCATGGAATAATTTTCATTAGCATGTTCAAACAGATTCCATGCTTCATCGACGGCAACACGATTGGAGCATTTCTGTAGCTGTTGCCTGTTTTCAATGCATTTTAAATTAATTTGTCGTCCGCGTTTTTCAATCGCTCTTCGAGTTGTCAAATCGCCACACTGCAATTTATAATTATTGCACGCAAAATTTGCGGATGACATTTGTCAACAAAAATTGAGTGAACCAACTTCTGGATGCCTCCGTCTCTTTTAGAAATGAATGGGGAAAGGGTTTTGACTTTTGACTTTGACAAAAAAAGAAACCAGACAACCACGTGTATCAAGACCTGCCGTTGTGGCTCCTTGGCTTTTTCTTAACAAATTCATGTGACTAACAAAAGCACTTTTGGGTTCGGCTTAGCGTTCAAATATTGGCGAATTGCTTCTCGAGCAGTTCATGAAAGATGGATTTTCTTTAGTTCTGACAATAATATAACAACACACTTTCAATGCTTGCCTGATTATTGGCCACCGAAATTGCAACAAGCCATGCGAAGCTAACAAAAATAAGAAGATACATAAGTTGTTCTTCAACGAATGGAAGGTAGAGGTGATCTGTGGACTGCCTTGAGAACGAAAGGAAGAGAGAGTTGGATGAGGAGTGAGTGCCGAGGGCTGCATACGAATGGCGCAACACCTGTTGATGAATCTTTAATTTATGAAGTCAAATGAGGAGGCTGTGTTTTTTTTTTTTTTTTTTTTTTTTTTAAAAAAAAAAA